AACAATTTTATAAATTTAATAATTTTATAAATTTTATAATAAAAATAAAAAATATTCAATCGAAAGTCGTTGAGTGAACTTATTATATTTTTAAGCAATTGTTAAAAGTTATCTGATAAATTATAACAAAAAACAATGTACAATTAAACAATTTATGAATAATGTTCGATAAATTAGAACACAAAAAATTCAATTATTAAACTTGTACAAAATAAACTAATTTAAATTTAAGCAATGTACAATTAAACATAATGTCAACAGTTAATTAAATTTAAGTATTGTATATGAAGAAATTGTCAGAACCTGCTAAATGACATAAAAAATTTGATATTAAAATATTTTTGTACTTAATGTTTCTCTTCATTCAATTGTTGTCTATTTTCGAATAAGAATATTTGGTCCATATCATATACCTTGGAACAAAAGAATCTTTTTCTCCTTCTAGAATTCTAAAATTTTATAATTATCAAACTTATTTAATTATAAAAGTTTTTTATTATTTGCAATATCAATGAATGTAATAAATCAATTAAAAATTAAATAACTGTGTGAGAGTAAAAAATTTCTCTAAGTCGGACTTACCGTAACGTGTTCATCTGGTTAAAGAACTGAAAAAATGATATGTAGTAGTTTTAAAAAATTCAATTTAAAATCTGTTAGAATTAAAATGTTTTTAAAAAATTCAATCTTAAACCTTGTGAAAGTTCATTATTTTAATATAATATAATACCATTTAAAACCTTGTACAAATGTATCTGCTACTTTTCCAAAATTAATTATTTAAAAAAAATCTTATTTAAGACCTAACAGACAATTATTGAAAAAATACTAGTTGTGTGCAAAAGACTCGAAACCCGATCGAATATTCTGTTCACCAAAATGTCATGCTCTTTAAAATGAAATAATATGTTTTTTAAATAATAACTAATTACTTAATTATTACAAAAAGTAAAGCTTAGGGGAGAGTCTCCAGTTGTGAGACACCTCCAGTTGTGAGACAGTCAATTTTTTTTAACATGCAATATTAAAAAGCCGATTGGTTTATATAAAAACATTTCTTTTTATATGAGCCAACTTTTTCGTGTACGCCGAAGCGGATATATAAACTGTTTTTGTTAAATACCAACACTGTGTGTGATAATCGACTAAAAAGCGTTTTTTCAATAAATACAAAGTACTTTTTTCCAAGTTAATTAATTGGAAAAGGTAAATGTAATGCATTTTCTTTTAGTGTTTTCCTTATATTTTGTGATGCAATATTGCATTGTTCCAATCTACGGTTGAAAATAATTTAATTTTCCTTTTTCAAAATAGCGCCAATTTCTGGGTGTGAGACACAGCATATCACCAGTTGTGAGACGGTGTCAACACCCATCTGGGCAGCATAAAAAATACGACTTTGCAGGCATACTATTTAAATGTTGTTTTGATTTTTTTTCTAGAATTTTTGGGCATGTCAAGTGGAAAAAAGTCAATTGATTCAGAAGAAATCAATTTTAATGCTCTTGTTCAAGCTATTAAATTGTGTTTATTTGATAGTCATATTTTGGCGAATAAATATTATTATTTAGTATATAATAATATATATTATTAATATATTTAATTATTTCTACTAAACATAACGTTTTATGTCAAACTTATTAAATTTTAGCAATTTTTAATGAGTGTCTCACAACTGGAGACATTTTTTTTTTTTGAAAAAAGCGATGTGCTCGGAAAATGTATCGTAAAATTTTTTGAGTTCATCGAAACACTATACTTTCTTTTAATAAAAGTTGCGTATTTCTGTTACCTTTCGAACGGTGTATTTTATTAACAATTTCGTTTACCCGTTTACAATTTACGGGTCAAAAATGAAACCCGTCTCACAACTGGAGACTCTCCCCTATATATAATCTTAAAATGTTTATAGACAGACAAAAATCTATCAATCTATACAAATTATATTTATTTTTAGTTAAGATGATTATTAATCATCATAATGTAATTTCAACTTAATTTGAAGTCAAAATTTAAACATTTTTATCACATATAAAACGGAGGTCCAAAAATTTTTTAAATGCACATAATGATAGAAAAAACATTGTATTTTCTGGCACTATTTTTAAAAAATTTCTAAGAATTTGAAAAAAAACCATAAAAATTTAGTTTTCTTATAGAAGTCCTATTGGAGAAATGTTAAAAAGACTTTGGAGATGAAATTATTTTAGTTATTGCATAAATTCAGTTGAATAAAATTGTTTAATTTTTTTTAATGATAAGTAAGTGCTAAATTTTTACTACGAAAATGGTTAATAATATTATGAGAGTAGATTTTATAAAATTAATCGAGACATCAAAAATATCACTTTCAGAAGAATCCAGTCATAATTAGAACATTCAAGTCATGTCTAAATTAAATAATTTTTATCTTTAAACTTTGATCAAAATCTTAAACTAAAAACAACTAGTAACAAAAAATTTTGACAATCGTAATATTAATACAGATAAAAATTTTATCATTTTTAAAGAAAAATAACATGTTGAATGGAATTTTTTTTAATATCTTCCATTAACCAAAAAAAAATTCCAGAAATTTGTTCAAATTTCATGCTATTTCCAGGTTTTCCAGGTTGTGTGGCAACCATGAAAAAGCACTTTTACGCAAATGTCTGTAGTTCCGCCATTTTGTAATATTTTTTACATATTTTTTATTGCAATTTTGTATTTTCTTAACATACCACATCATTTAATTCTATTCCCTTACCTTTCATAAAAAGAAAAATTCTTGAAAACAGGTGTTTTTTGGCGTTTACAGTGGTCTTAACCCTTAAAATTATGCTTGTTAAATGCGGAATTTGGTATATAAGCTTTACGATAATAAGCCTCAAGATAAGAAAGGTTTATTTGTTCGTAAAATATTTACTTTGTTACAAATTTTTATTAATTAATTAATAATTCGAAAACATATAAAACGGCATTTTTTCATTTCGGTCATTAAAAGTACACATATTAATCTTTACTTTAAAGAAAAAAATTTTTAAAAAGTTAAAAATATTTTTGATCTTGAAAAAAAAGTATAAATACTCTTAGTCTTGTTCAACTTATTAAATGTATTTACTCAAACTTTTTAATATAATTTAAATCAATTGCTTGTAAATCATTAGAAATTCTTTAGTGCAACGCTTTATTATAAATTTTCATCGAAATGGTATTGTTTATAACGAATTCTTGAAATGGTACGACCTATGGATCGTAAACTAAAAATAATAATGATGTTTTTAATACATTAAAAATATTCTAAAAAAATGTTAATGCACATTAAAATAAAGTTAAAGATCTGATGGTTAATTTTTTCATATATATTATTTATAAAAAGGAGAAATAATATTGCTTTTATAAATATTCAAATTTTACATATCGGCCCGAGTAAAATTCAAAGAAGAAAGACTTTAATATTTTCAAATTAATTTTGCACAACTTAAATTCTTACTCTTGAGTATGAAATGAAGTAGTTTCAATAGAAAAAATATAAATATAATTTTAAAAAAATTAATTGAAAAATCGAATATTAAAAATATCACTTTCAGAAAAATTACCCTTATGTATAGGTAAGTGTGTATTATTGTCTCACTTTGACATAAAAATGCCTGTGATTTTAACTGTTTAAGGGGACATTAATTTATAACTACATAATAATGAATATTGTTAAAACACTGTTTTGTAAAATACTTGTTTTTTCATCACAAATAATTCCTAAATTTTAACCTGGAATTTTTAATATTTTTGACCTGGAAAAAGCCTGGAATTTTGAAATCTAGATTTTGTGGCAACCATGTTTTTCTTGGAAGAGCTGCGCGGCACGCGGCACACAGGGTATACAAAATTGAATCTGGAACTAATTAAAAGATTTTTTCTTTATCTACATAATAATAACTAGATAAATACGTAAGGGATTTAAAAAATATTTATTTTTGTGTAATTGGCGAGAATTTGAGAAAAACCTCATTTTTTGATCAAAAAAGGCACTCAAATGTTTATAACAAATGTTTAAATTAATTTATCGAAAAGCCACTAAGTGTTTCTCTTTTGAAATGTTATTATAAAGATGTAAGAAAAAATCCGATTAAAAATAATGAATATTGTTTGAGTTATGCTGCGTGTCGATTTCAAGAAACGTGTTTTAAGAAAAACGCGTTTGAAGTTTAGAGATTTTAGAGATATATAAAACATACCTATGGAAAAGTGGAAAGTTTTACTGTTAAACATTTTTTACAATTAATCTACAATTCCATTAACATAAAGACATCATTCAGTATTTGTATCATCATCTGAGCAGTTCCTGTCCAGCAGGAAATCGATCAAGATTTTTTTGATGGAATGGGATTTGGCTATTATTACTATAGTGACATAAATTCATACCAATTATTTTTTCAAAATTTTTCAAAATAGTGGAGATACGGGACTTTTTAATTTTAAGCAACATTTTTTTTGAAACGCTGTAACTAGAGTTTTAAGTATTCGATTTTCATTTTCAAAGTCGCTAATGATTTGTTTTTAGATATACTATTACAAAAAATTAAGTAATAAAAAATTTTTTTTTGAAAATTTTGAAGATAAAATTTTTTTTTGATTTTCGGTTTTGAGAATACATTATTTTTAATTTTCTTAATTTTTTCGTCAGAAGAAGCTATAAGTATAATTTACAAGTCCTGCAAGTTTCATCGTCGGACTGCCAGTAGTTTCGGAGAAAAGAAATAAAATGTAAATTTGGTTCACATTGACTGTATTATAAGTCTTGATCAAAAAGAAATCGATTTTTTTAATATATACAGTGGCCTTACTCCTTAAAAAATTTTTAAATATAATTGTTAAATAAATAAATAAGTAATAAATTATTTATTTAATAATTATTTATAAAATATAGTTTAAAATTGAATTTTTTTAAAATAGTACATATACCATTTTTTAGTTTCTCAACATGAACACGTTAGGGATAGGTCCAATTTAAAGTAATTATATTTTCTGTCATACAGTTTTATTTAATTTTTAATTTATTTATTACATTCCTTGGTATTACCAATATTATAGAGTTCTTATAATTAAATAAGTTCGATATTTATAAATTTTCAGAATTGCAGAAGGAGAAAAAGATTCTTTTGATCCAAGATATAAGTTATGGTCCTATTCTTATTCAAAAATAGACAATAACTGAATGAAGAGAAACATTAAGTACAACAATAATTTAATATTAATTTTTTTGTCATTTAGCAAGTATATTATTTAAATTTTAATCAATTCCTTCTTTGCAATTTCGATACTGAATATATATAAAATCTATAAAATTGTTAAGATTTACGTTCCTTTTTTAAATGCTTTAACATATAAGGTACAAATATCACAGTTAATTTGTACATTGGTTACAGTTTTATTACTCTAACTTAAAGATCTTTATGTATTTCACTGTTTGTCACAATTAACAATAATTATTTTAAATCTATATTGTCACAAATTATAAATACCAGTACATAAACTGATTTCTAAATTTTTTAAATTACATCAAATGTAAACTATTTGAAATAAATGCATTAGTCTTAATTCGAAAATAAGAAATGGGAACTAAATTTTTAGTTTATTCGGAAAAATGGAAATGCACTGCTTTTTTCGTTTCTGATTTAATTGGTGAAGCGATTACAAATCGATGTAAATCTGCAGTGTCAATGTACGATATAACTTCATTTAAAACGAGAATGGGTAATTGGAATTTTACTATAATTCGAAAACAGTCGTAACTTAATTCTATTAATCGCTTCTCAAGTTTTGCTTTATTCAGACGGACTTCAAATCGACGGGCAAAATTCGGAAATGAAGTTTTAAAATCAAATGAATTTATGAAGTCGAGAAAATTTTCATTTCGCATTAAAATAGAAAGTCGTCTATGTGACATAGTTAGAAGATCGTACATTGTCACATCAGTTTCACTAATTTTTGTTTTTTTCATTTCTTCAAGTTCGTTGGGGCATTTAGAATAATTGCGATCTAAGATTAAATTTACGCTGTGATCACATGACAAATCAAATATTTTATCGTATTCAGATTGAGATCTTAATAAATCAAATATTGGTTCCATTTCCCCTGGAAGGCAAGTTGCACCATAATGCAGAAGTAGTTTTGTAATATTTATATTTACTTTCAAGGCAATAGCACAGAAAAGTAGAGTCTGGTCGGAAGCAAAGCAATTAACGTTAGCGCCAGCTTCTAGAAGTAATTTAACGCATTCGAAACTATCCATATAAACTCCGATGCAAAGTGGGGTTTCATTTCTCTTAGTGCAAGAATTGATATTGGCATTTTTTGTTAATAAGATTTTAGTAATTTCTACGCAATTGTACTTCACTGATACATGAAGGGGTGAAAGTCTATTTCTGCCTCCATTTACATTTACAATTGCACCACGTGCCAATAGTTCCTGAACAATAGTTGTGCGTCCTCCTTCACAGGCATGATGCAATAGTGTGTAACCATCAATCAAATAAGTATTGAGGTTACAAACATTGGGCAAAAAATTGTAAAAAATATCCGTAAATCCGTATTTAATGGCACCAATTAATACATGATATTCCAGAAATTCTTGCCTCATTTTTTCATCACAGGATGTTTCCTCTTTATTTAAAAGATTTTGCACATTGTTTCTTTGTTCCATCATCCTTGAATGATCTAGAGAGACTAATGACAATTTCTCTGGAATAAGCATATTTTTTATGTCTTCGGTGTTAAGCCTAAAACCATGATTATAAAATAATTCACAGATTAACTTGTTATTACGCTTATCACTACGGTCTCCAGAAATTTTAAGATCAGGTAATGTTTCAAAATAGGTACCCAGAAAGGAAAGGCAAAAAGCCATTTTTAAAGTCATATCACAAGTATTTGGATTCTCACCCAGAAGAATTGTAGCACCAATCAAAGATCGACGTAGAGTTGCGCAATTCAAAGGAATCAGGCCATAATAATTTTTGGCAGTTAAATTAGCACCGTTATTTATGAGAAACTTTAGAAATTCGCCATCGTCTTCATTGGACATATATTTGGCTGCCAAATGTAGTGGTGTGTCATCTGAATAAGTGTCAGTAGCGTTAACGTCTGCACCTGCGCGTAAAAGAAGAATCGAAATTTCTTTATGACGTATTTTGCTAGCAAGATGTAGAGGTGTTCCATCATATGCTGCATCAGCATTCACGTCAGATCCTCTAGATACTAGAAATTCAACAAGATCACAACTCCTACATTCCACCGCTCTATGTAACGCTGTATAATAACTAGAATCTATTTCCTTAATATCCTTATCATTATCAAAAAGCATTTTTATTTCATGCTGTGATAAAATAAGCTTAATACTATCATCATACGCCTCATGATAAGGTGTCCTGCCAAACTCATTACAAATTTTTAGATCAGCTCCATTTTCAAGTAAAAGTTGAATAACACTTTCAGAAGGGTTTATTCCTTTTGAAACAGCAATATGTAGAGGTGTATTTAACTCATTATTTGTTGCATTAACAATAGCTCCTTTTTCCAATAAAATTTTCACGATTTCCACATTTCCAATTTCGACTGCAAAATGAAGTGGAGTCTGATCGTGATCTTGAGTTTCGTCATTTACTTTCACAGGATGTTGCAAAAGAAGTTTTGAAATTTCGAGAAAATTGGCTAAAAGTTGTTCGTACACTTCGTATTCTGCTTGTAATTCGTTACGACGTTGTGGTGAATAAATAGAATTGTTAAGTATACTACAAAGTAGTGAATAACCAGAAGATGATGCGAGGTAATCATCAAAATTGTTTTGAGAAAGAATATGTCTTGCTGCCGACTCATCACCAGAAAAACATGCCGTTTGTAAAGACTGAAGTTCTATCGACGACATTGTCACTTTATTCCTTGAGATTTAGTTTGAATTATTCAATTGGATCAAACTTGTTGACATCGAAATTGAGAAAATCTGGAAACAAACAGTCTGTTAATTTTACTGGAAAATCATTAAGGGGTTACATGGGTCAAAACGTCCAGACAATGTATGTATGTTTAAATTATTTTTTTTTCATAAAATAAATAAATTTTTTTATTTGAGCACTTTTAATTCTTAATGTACACTATTAAATGAGTAACTTGTAAAATTTTCGTGAAAAAATATTTTAATTCAGACCTGTACTAACAGGTTCTTTGAGAACCCTCCCAAAAAAGCAGTGGTCACAATATCATCTGACCAGTTAATCGAAAATCAAAAAACTGAATATTTTCTGTTAGTGGATGAGTATAGCTCGTGATTTAACGAAGGAATATTTTTTTTGTTGATTAGAACCGATTTTACATGGTCTTAATGGTTCTAAAAATTGTAACTTTTGACAAAAGACATTGTCAAAAATCCAATTTTCAATTTTTTTAAAAACCATTCGTTCAGTCACGAGATATATTCACCCACTAAAAGAAAATTTTTTGTATTTTGATTTTAGATGAAGCAGTCAAAAGATATCTTGACCACCGCAAAGGCAATTTTTATGGAAAGGGGCCCGAAGAACTGTTACTACAGGCCTGATTTTTAATATTTCTTACAAAAAATTTGACATCTTATTTATTTAATAGTATACTTTTAGATAACAAAGTGTTCAAATAAAAAAATTTATTTATTTGATGAAAAAGAAATTATTAAAAAAAACATACGTTTTCTGGTCGCTTTGACCCATGTAACGCCTTAAATAAGTTATTATTTAATTGAAAATATCAAAAACTAGCTTTTAAAAGCGCACTCTGAAGAAAGAACCCAAGAAAGAAAAAATTTTAGGTTACGTTAATTATGTTTAGAAATAAAAATCCTCAAAGGATATCAACTCTTAATATAAACCTGTTACGCTCAAATCTTCATTACATCTTAAATAATTTATAAAAACAGATTTCAGCATTAAATTGAGCAAAGAAATTTTTTAATTGTGGTAAAAATAACGCAAAAATAACCTAAATATGTAATTTGATTCTTAGGTGATTTTCTTGGGAGCGCATTACATATTCTCGTTTCTCTTAGAAGCAAAGAAAATACACTACCGGCGGTAATTGTACGATTGCTACTTTTTCATGACTATTAAATAAGTTCTAACTTAAAAAAATATTTAAAATTTTTGCATTATATTTTCAAAAAAACTGGAAAATTACTTTAGAATGCAAGTCATAAATGTTCTCCGTGAGTCCCAAATAACTTGAACCCAAAAGTGCTTGCCCATCTCGGTTCATTTTCTATTTTGTTTTTAGGATGCTTCCTGATGATTTTGAGCCTAATATGAAAAATATCAGTTGGGCCGCTTTAGAAAGACTTTCAATTTTGTATTTGTTTAAGAGTAGGTTAGTCAACATATTTTTCCGAAAATATGTTCAAATAAGTGCCATATCGATTCTGGTCATTTAGAAAAGCTTCAGAAAACAAATAGTGTTGAAAACCTTGCAGAGTGAGATTAACCCATCAAATTAAATGAGAAACTGAAAGATCGTCATAAAGATTAGATTTTTGAATATTACTCCCTCCCAGTTCATACAGTACCGGCCAAAATTGTCATTCCACTCATTTTTGAAGGAATAAAAAAATTTTTTAACATAAAATTTATGAAAACTCAAAATTTTTTTGGTTTATATTTTGAAATACGATAAAATTTTAAAAAGAATAAGACCTCACAGAAGTCATTTGGCTAAAATTTGTAGAAGATATTCTTAAAAATCGTCATTCTCAATGTTTTACAAAAATTTGAATAACTTCTAAAATAATGAACGCTTTTTAATAATCTTAGGCTTATTTTAAAGGTCATTTTCTACGGAATAAAAATTACTTATAGGCATTAACCTGTAATTTTTTATTTGGAATAAGCATGACGTCAAAGTTGGACAAAAAAATTATAAAAATTTGAAATAAATTTTGTGTACTAAAAACTATTCTAGAACATATATATAAAACATAATGTGGTGTAGATTTTTCAAGAAAATTTCATAAAAAAATATGTTTGAATGTAAAAAATTATTTTTCTTTTAATAATATTATTTCAAATTTTTTGAATTTTTTTGTCCAACTTTGACGTCATGCTTATTCCAAGTAAAAAATTACAGGTTAATGCCTATAAGTAATTTTTATTCTGTAGAAAAAGACCTTTAAAATAAGCCTAAGATTATTAAAAAGCGTTCATTATTTTAGAAGTTATTTAAATTTTTGTAAAACATTGAAAATGACGATTTTTAAGAATATCTTCTACAAATTTTGGCCAAATGACTTCTATGAGGTCTTATTCTTTTCAAAATTTTATCGTCTTTCAAAATATAGACCAAAAAAAATTTTAGTTTTCATGAATTTTATGTTAAAAAATTTTTTTTCATTTCTTCAAAAATGGGTGGACTGACAATTTCGGACGGTACTGTACATTAAGCACAAAAATATCGATAGAAAACTAAAAATGTATAAAATTTGCTAAACAATTTTAAAAAAGTACGTAATTTTCATGTTAAAAAAGCGTGGCGGAAGTAGAACTTTTCTCTACTCCTCTGAACAGAGTAGCAAAAGAAAATTTAACGTGACGAAGAAAAATTTTGTCGTGGCGAAAGTAAATTCAGAAAGCACAGTTAGTCCTTGTCTTTTTTATCCCCTTAAATTATTAAAATTATATAAAACACCTAAAATCAAACATTATTTTCCCTTATTTTAAAAAAAAAACTTATAAAAATTGTCATTTTTTAACGTTATTCGCAAACTTTGGAAAAATTTTAGTTTTTTGAAACTTAAAAATCTTTTTTTATTTTTTTTAGAGTTTTTAAACTTAGAAATTTTTTCATAAAAGATAACAAAATAAATTTTACTTCTGAGAAAAATCAATATATAGTTTGGAGTTTTTGACATTGTTTTATTTCCAAAATAAATATTACTTAATTTTAAGAATAGTTTACTAATTTTCAATCAAATTTGCGACAAATATTATAAAGTTTACTCTGCGGAAATAACGATTTTTAATAGCAAAATTTATTATGTATTTTCAAAGTCAACTTTTTTAATACCAAAATTATTTAAATTTTCCTTGAACATTACAATTAGCTGTTAAATATTTGTATTTATCAAGAGAAAATTTTCCAATTTTTGAAACACGTTTTTCCAATTTTTATAAAAAAAATTGTCTTTTAAAATACATAGTAAAAGTTATTACGGAAATAACAATTCTTAGCATTTAAGTTTACTAATGTTTTACTGAAATTTACTTTGTACATATTAAGATTAATGGAATTTTTAAAACAAAAGTAAAATTGTAATACCTATAAATTTTTATTTTTAGAACTGAAATTACAATGAAAAAAAATCACAGGACGCGAAACTTTTATAACTTTTTTCTACAGGGTGGCCGCAAGATTGACTTTATCAATTTCCCTGACATTTTACTGACATAACAACGAATTTCCCTGACAAAAATTTTTTTGTTTAGAGCAAAAAATGTATTGCATGACCGTCTTAATTTCTTTAATTGCCCTGACAAAAAAATTTTTCCTGACATTTCCCTGACTTTACTAACAAAAAATTTTTTTCCTGACATTTCCCTTCTTCTTTAATTGCCCTGACAAAAAATTTTTCCTGACATTTCCCTGACTTTACTGACAAAAAATTTTTTTCCTGACATTTCCCTGACTTTACTGACAAAATATTTTTTTCCCTGACATTTCCCTGACTTTACTGACATGTGGCCACCCTGTTCTAGGTACCGCTCTGTTTGACGCGAGCAATAGAGAATTAATTTTTCTGAATTTTAACGTTCACCATGGATTAGTAGATCTCGAAGGTAATTCGCATATTTAGATAAGAATTAAAAAATCCAGGTTTTGAAGGAGATTTTTTGGAAATTCAATTACTCTCTATTCCTCGCGCTTCTTACCGTGTTGCACAATTACCGCCTGTATATACACATTTATCTTGATTAAAAGTTCCTTTTTTGCTATTATGTAAAATCGAAATATGTTTTTATTAAATATTTTGGACGTAATAAAGACTTGAATATCAATTTTTTGTATTAAAAATTGTTTCTCCTTCCGCACTATTACTTTAAAAAATTACAAACATAACCTAAAAATTTGGGTGAAAAGTGTGAAAAGATTTGTCCTATTCTTTCACTCATAAAATTCTACTTTCTTACACGCTTATTCCTACGTTACTGACTTTAAACATTAATATTTCAATAAAAAAAGCACTAATCATACAACTTTATTACCTTACTATATCCAACGATTGCGACGATTTTTTCTTTGTTGATTTTTGCAAAGCAGGTATATCGGCCAAAACCGCCAAAACACACGTTTGCGACAATTTGTTACGTATGTTTAGGTAACATACGTAAACTCGAGTTTGTTACAGTTTCTCATCCCTGGTTTTCATGCTTGCGATTTAGGCTTTATTCACATGTGGACCTTGCATTCTTATAACGAGGTGTGATTTAGACTTAAAAGTTCAAGGTATAGTATAGTAAACATAAACACAAACACTATACCTGTTTTGGCTGTTTGTTGTCATTTCAAAATTATCAACTGTTTAAACTAAAAAAATAAAAGAGTTGGTGGCTGTTTAAATGGAAATGTATATTTAGTGTATTTAAAATCGTCTTTTCCTTGGATTTAAAAAGTTAGTGAGGATTTTTCTAAAACTTGAGTGTAAATTTCTTTTTTGAAAATGTATTTAAAAAATTAGTGGGGAAAATGTCAATTTTTCATTTTGGTTGATAAGGTAATGTTCTTGTTAATATTTATAAAAATAATATGCATGCATTTGAGAATACGAGCAAGAGAAGGTTAGTTTGTTAATTTTTAGGTTATGTTCTTTGTTATGTCCTTTTGCTCATTCTTAAAATTTACGATTCTACGATTATGCTGAAGCCAAAGTAGAAAAATAAGAATACCCAACCAAAAGAATAATGAAAAAACATCAGAAAAACAATCAGAATTTCTTATTTTTTTTGGGTAGTATTTTCTATTTTTGCAGTTTAATTAAAGGTATGAGAAAAGAACAACTGAAATTCGATAAACTTGAATTCTGCCAAATTATAATTCAGACGAATAAATATTCTACTACATAATTTAAAATTCTTTCTTGTTTTCTTTCTGATAAATTAATATACTTTTAAATTACTATTCAGTTTTATTTAAATTCTGCCAAACAACTTTTCTCAACAATTAAAATTCAATCATATTTAATGTGTGACCCATTACTATTCTTACGAATAAAAATTCTACAACATTGATAATCGATTTAATGGAAATTCTGTCAAGCTCACGTTCTAAGAATTAAATATTCCGCTACAATTATATTCTAGAGAATAAAATTACCTACACTTTTATTTTACTGCCAACTTTTTTATCAGACCTCTACACTGAAAAAAATATATAATACTTCCTCTATGAGGAAGTAGTTGAATCAAATAAAAATTAATTGACTCAATCAAATGGTTTAATTGTCTATTATCCAATAAATATTTATTTAAACTAAGTAAATATTTACTAGATCGGAGTACTTTATTTTATCGTATCAAATAAATATTTATTTGTACCAAATACGAATTACTTAAGTCAAATAAATCGAATAATTGGATCTAATAAATATTACTTTAAATCAATTTTGAAAATTATTTGATTCAATAATGCATGGATTTTAATTCAAGTAAATATTTATTTGCTACAATAAGGTTTTCAAACAGAAATTTCTCTACGAAATTGAGAGAAATTTTAAAAAATAAAAAAAGCACTAGAAAGTTCATGAAATTCTCTTTTGATTCAGTGTATAATATGTTACACATAATTAAATTTTTAAATAATAAAATTTATTAGAAAATCACTCTCCTTGCGATTGTCAGGGTTGCCACGCAACCTGAAAACCTGGAAATGTCAGGGAATTTTTATAAACCTTGAAAAAACTTGGAAAAGTCAGGGAATTTTGATTAGAATCCTGGAAAATTATTGTTTTCTAAAGTTATTGTGCTTATTCTTGAAATCCAATTTTACTTAAATATTTCAAAATTAATTTAATTTTAAAAGAGTTGCCTTTCCAATTTTTCTTCGCAATAATTCAATTATTTTCATAAATAATAAAAAAATTTATAGATTTACAATTATTTTCATAAATAATAAAACTCATCGCAAAATTTCAATTATTTTTAATATAATTTTAATGGAATTTCTCGAAAAATGTATAATATTATTCTTAAAAATTTTATTAAAATTCATCAAAGAAATTCAATTATTTTCAAAAGTAATAAAATTCTATGCAGAAATTCAATTATGGTCAAAAGTTTAAAAAAATTATCGTCAAAATTTCAATTATCTCTATAATTATTAAAATTTTTCTCCAAAATTCAATTATTTTAAAAAATTTTAATGAAATTCTTTTTAACAAATTCAATTTTTTTTCAAAAATTCTCCTCCAGTCAATGATTTTCAATATCTACTATTTTAATAAAATTTTCCAAAAGAAATGAATTATTTAAAAAATTTTTTATAAATTTCTTCCCAATAATTCTATTATTTTCAAAAATATACAATTTATGTTTACAGAGATTCAATTATTTTAATAAATATGTAATACAATTTTTTACAGGGATTCAATTATTATTTTCATAAATAATAAAACTCATTGCAGAATTTCAATTATTTTTTATACAATTTTAATCGAATTCCTCGAAAAATGTAATTATTCTTAAAATTTTATTAAAAGTTGTCAAAAGCATTCAATTATTTAAAAATTTGTTAATAAAATTCTTTATGAAAATTAAATTTTGAGAAACATTCAATTATTCAATAAATTATTTATTTTTGTATTAAAAAATAATTAGGTATTTAAAAAGAAATATTATTAAAAAATTTATAGTCAAAATTTCAATTTTTTTTATACATATTAAAATTTTTCTCTGAAACTCAATTATTTTCGAAAATTTTAATAAAATTCTTGGTAATATTTCAATTATTTAAAAAAATTTTAATAAAATTCTTGACAAAATTTCAATTATTTTCAAAAACTTTTCTCAATTCAATCGAATTTTTTACAGAGATTCAATTATTTTTTATACACGTTTAATCTAATTTCTCGAAAAATGAAATTATTCTTAAAAATTTTATTGAAATTCGTCAAAAGAATTTTAATTACCTATTTAAAAATTTGTTGATAAAATTCTTTAAATGAGAGTTCAATTTTAAAAAACATTCAATTTAGATAATAATTGATTTTTGAAAAGGTTTCAAAATATAATCTTTGAGTGTTTGAATTTTTCATACTTTTAACTTAAAATTGTGTAGATTTAATTTTTTTGTAAAAGTTCAATTGAATTTTTTTAAGTTATTTGAAGTTTTTATTTGCTAATATATATTTGATTGAAAAATTTGATTGAATAATCGATGGAATTTCGCAAAAATGAATTGTAAACCAAAGGCTTTGAAAATGTTGAAAGAAATGTTTTGAAAATCATTAATAATAATTAATTTAAAGAAGAATTTTAGTTAAAAATTCTGGAAAACAAAAAAAAAAAAAAAAAAAATAATTTAAAAAAAAAAAAAAAAAAAAAAAAAAGTAAAGTAATTTTGAAAGTAATTTTGAATAAGTTACAGTAACAATATTCTTATAATACAAAATGATGATTTTATCAGTCCAAAATTTTTAATTATTATAAAATATGAAAATATATGTTGCTCCGAGTCGAAGACTCGGAGTGATCGATATTTTCATGTTTTATAACAATTTTTTATAAGATGTTTAATTTCAAAAAGGTTAGAATTAAAAATTTTGTAAAATATAAATGTAGTTTTAAAAACCTGGAAAAATTCCGCTTTTTAACCTGGAAAACCTGGAAAAGTCAGGGAATCGACGTGGAAAATTATATTCGATATGTCTATTTTAATTGCAAGTGTAAAGATTTTAAGATTTCTTATTTTTATAAACTTATTTTAAATTAATATGAATCTTACTAAAATTATTATATTAATATATTTAACACATTTATTATGTATACAATAGATTTTTATATTGTTAAAATAAAATTACCTAAAATTAGTTGAGACTTAAATAATTTGTATTTATTTCTAACATCCATTTACTTGAATGAAATAAATAAATTAATAGTTTCAAATAACTTATTTATTATCGTTTCAATAATAATTGATTTATTTGATACAATTATTTTTTAATTTGTTCTTATTAAATACTTTATTAGCATTAAATGATGCATTATTTGCATTAAATAATTTAGTTTACTTCAAGCCATAAAATGAATTAATTGCGCCAAATAATGTTTATTTATATCAAATATCCAATTAATTCAGTGGAATAAATTAATTAAATGTTTCAGATAACTCATTATTTCGGTTTCAATAAGTCAAATAATGTTTATTCATATCAAATATCCAATTAGTTGAGTGAAATAAATAAGTTAATTGTTTCAAATAACTCATTATTTGTAATAAAAAAATTTATTTATTAGAGTCAATTATATATATAAAAGCTACTTTTTCATATTTTCAATTAAGTAATAACTGTTATTTAATAATTTTCCAGTAAAATTAACAAACTCTTTGTTTACAGATTTTCTCAATTTCGATGTCAACAAGTTTGATCCAATTGAATAATTCAACATAAGTCTCAAGGAATAAAGTGACGATGTCGTCGATAGAAATTCAGTCTTTACAAAACGCATGTTTCTCTGGTGATGAGTCGGCAGTAAGAAATATTCTTTCTCAAAACAATTTTAATGATTACCTCGCATCATCTTCTGGTTATTCACTACTTTGTAGTATGCTTGAAAATTCTTTTTATTTACCACAACGTCGTAACGAATTACAAGTAGATTACGAAGTGTACGAACTACTTTCAATGCTTAAAAATTCTATGTATTCATCACAACGTCGTGACGAATTAGAAGCAGAGGACGCAATGCACAAACAGCATTTAGCCAAGTTTCTCGAAATTTCAAAACTTCTTTTGCAACATCCTGTGAAAGTAAATGACGAAATTGAAGATCACGATCAGACTCCACTTCATTTTGCGGCACATATTGGAAGTGTGGAAATCATAAAAATTTTACTGGAAAAAGGAGCTATTGTTAATGCAACTAATAAAGAGTTGAACACACCTCTACATATTGCTGTTTCAAAAATAAATAATCTTACTGAAAGTATTATTCAACTTTTACTTGAAAATGGAGCTGATTTGAAAATTTTTAATAAGTATAATAGAACTCCTCATGATATGACTTATAATACAAGAATTAAGCGTATTTTATCACAGCATGAAATAAAAATGCTTCTTGATAGTGGTGGGGATATGGAGGAAAGAGATCTTGCTGGTTTTACAGCGTTACATAGAGCAGTGGAAAGTGAGGATTATCATCTTGTTGAATTTCTAATATCCAAAGGATCTGACGTGAATGCTAAGACAGAGTTTGATGAAACACCTCTACATCTTGCTTGCCCAATACATCATAAAGAAATTTCGCTTCTTCTTTTACGAGCAGGTGCAAACGTTAACGCTACCACTCGTGAAGATAACACTCCTCTGCATTTGGCAGCCAAACATTCATGCAATGATGACGATGGTGACTTTCTAAAGATGCTCTTAAGTAACGGTGCTAATTTAAAAGCTGAAAATATTTATGGCCTGATTCCTTTAAATTACGCCGTTGAAAATAAATCTTTCAGAGAAACTACAATTCTTCTGGGTGAAAAACCAAATATTTGCGATTTTCCTCTAAAACTGGCTTTCTGCCTTTCCTTTTTGGGTTTCTTTTCTTACACAGTGCCTAATCTTGAAATTTTTATATGTGGTAGAGATAAACAAGAATACCAGTTAATCACTGAATTATTTTATAATCTTGGTTTCAGGATTAATATCGAAGACATAGAAAATTTATCAATTCCAGAGGAATTGACCACTCTAGATCATTCAACGCTGATAGAACATAGAAACATTGTGCAAAGTCTTTTAAATAAAGAAGAAACATCCTGTGACGATAAAATGAGGCAAGAATTTCTTGAATATCATGTATTAATAGGTGCCATTAAATACGGATTTACTGATATTTTTTACAATTTCTTACCAAATGATTGTAACATTAATACTTGTTTGATTGATGGTTCTACATTACTGCATCATGCCTGTGTAAATGAATGCTCAACTATTGTTAACGAACTTTTGGCACGTGGTGCAAATGTGAATGTAAATGGAGGCAAAAATAAACTTTCACCTCTTCATGTATCAGTGAAATATAATTTCTTAGAAATTACTAGAATTTTATTAACTAAAAACGCCAATATCAATTCTTGCAATAGCGAAAATGAAACCCCACTTTGGATCGCAGTTTATATGGATAGTTTCGAATGCGTTCAATTACTTCTAGAAGCTGGCGCTAACGTCAATTGTATTACTTCCAACAATCACACTCCACTTCACTGTGCTAGCGCCTTGAATAGAAACATAAATATTACAAAACTGCTTTTGCACTATGGTGCCACTTTCTGTTCAGAAGAAACGGAACCAATATTTGAATCTTCAAGATATCCATCTAAATCCGATGAAATAATTCATCTGACATCTGATCACAGCGTAAATTTAAAAGTCTTGGATCACAATTATCCTAAATGCCCTAACGAACTCGAAGAAATGAAAAATACAAAAATTAGTGAAACTGATGTGACAATGTACGATCTCCTGACTATGTCACATAGACGACTTTCAATTTTAATCCGAAATGAAAATTTTCTCGACTTTATAAATTCATTTGATTTTAAAACTTCATTTCCGAATTTCGCCCGTCGATTTAAAGTGCGTGTAAATAAAGCAAAACTTGAGAAGCGATTAATAGAATTAAGTTACGACTGTTTTCGAACTATAGTAAAATTTCAATTACCCATTCTCGTTTTAAATGAAATTATATCGTACATTGACACTGCAGATTTGCATCGATTTGTAATCGCTTCACCAATTAAATCAGAAACGAAAAAAACTGTGCAATTCCATTGTTCCGAATAGACTAAAAGTTTAGTTCCCATTTCTAATTTTTAAATCAAGAACAATGCATTTATTTCGAACAGTTGATGTAATTTATAAAATCAATAATTCAGTTTATATACTGAAATTTTTAATTTATGACAATATAGATTGTAACAAACATTAAAATACATAAATATTTTAAGGAGGTTCTATTGCTTGACTTAAATAATCAAAACAGAAACCATTATTTTGTGATTTGACTTGTTTGATACTTTGAAACGTCTGGCAACACCGAATTTCTTTAGTCTTGTTGTAAAAGGTTGGTACGACTTGTTTACATTCAGTTTTGAGTAGCAAATTCTGTGCAATGTATGTACCTAATGACATTTTTTTAATAGATATTTAATCATTAGATATCTGTTTCGTATTAATAAATGTTTCATGAATTTCATAATGTTAAATACTTCGTAGTGAGTAAATATATATGAAAAAGTACTCAATTTTCATAAGACTCAATGTAAAAAGTTAAAAAACCAAACGCTTATAACTTTTTTCACAAGTACCCTCATGTCTCCAAAATTTAACTACATATTTTTCAAACCTTTATCCAAGTTTCATTCAATTCTTAATGCTAATTCTATTTGCCATCCTTAAGTTAGAGTAATAAAAATGTAACCAATGTACAAATTAAGTGGGTTATTTGTATCTGACAAGTTAGAGCATATAAAAAAGCAACGTAAAATTTAACGATTTTATAAATTTAATAATTTTGTAAATAAAATTTTTTATAAATTTTATGTAATAAAAATTAAAATAAAAAATATTCAATCGTTAAAGTCGTTAAGTGAACTTATTATATTTTCAAGCAATTGTTATTTATAAGTGTCTGATAATAAATTATAACATAAGAAACAAAACAATGTACAATTAAACAATCTATGAATAATCTTCGTTAAATTAGAACACAATGAAATTAAATTATTAAACTTTTACAAAATAAACTAATTTCAATTTAAGCAATGTACAATTAAACATAATGTCAACAGTTAATTAAATTTAAGTATTGTACAATGAAGAAATTATCAGAACCTGCTAAATGGCATACAAAATTTGATATTAAAATATTCTTGTACTTAGTATATCTCTTAATTCAATTATATTTTGATATTATTCAATTATAATTTTGACATTTTATAATTATCGAACTTTTTTAATTATAAAAGTTTTCTATTATTTGTAATATAAATGAATGTAATAAATTAATTAGAAATTAAATAACTGTGTAAGAGTAAAAAATTACTTTAAATCGGACTTACCGTAACGTGTTCATCTTGATGAACTAAAAAAATGTTATATACTATTTTTAAAAAATTCAGTTTAAAATCTGCTATAATTAAAATATTTTTAAAAAAACTCAATCTTAAACCTTGTGAAAGTCCATTATTTTATAATACCATTTAAAACCTTGTACAAATGTATTTGCTACTTTTCCAGAATTAGTTATTTAAAAAAAAATTTTATTTAAGACCTGAGATTCAATTATTTAAAAAAATTCAATTTTAAGCCTTGTGAAAAAAGTCAATTATTCAAAAAATACTAGGTGTGTGCAAAAGGCTCGAAACTCGATCGAGTTTATTCGAGCCGAGTCGAGCTGTATAAAAAACTATAGAAAAATATCGAGTACTCGAATATTTTCGAGCTCTTTGGGCGGTATTCATAGTCGATACTTATTTCTTAAGCAGCGACTTAAGCTGCCACCTAGATTCATAGGGCCAGTTTCACCAAACTAGTTCAAGCACTGGGGCCGTATTCTCGAATCGATGACCCTAGATGTCGCATGCGACAGACCATTCGAGATGGAAAAAGCTATTCTCGAACGCTTGTCGCATGCGAGATTTCATGTCGTATGCGATAATTTCCGAATGGTTCATCTCGAGTGGGTAGTGGCCATTCGAGATGCAAAGTCGTATACGAAATGCTAGTAAAAAATAAGGTTGTGTGTCATTCTTGTAATAAACGTATATAATATAAATTAGTATTAGTGTGCATGAACCGCATGCTAAAGTAGAAAAAATATACAAAATAACCTAAATGTGTTGTTTAAGAATTAAAAGTAAACTTGTGAAATAAAAGTTTATGTAAATAATTTATAATATGCAAAATTTATAATGGATAAATTGCACATGTTTGTGTTATTTTTGTGAATGAATCATGTAAACAATATAAATTTTTTTAATTTTTTAATCTTCGTTTCATTTTTTCTGTCTGTTCACACTTTAAAGTTAGTTTTTGTGTATGCTTTTGTTTTTTTCTTTACAAAATATTGTTTTACAAATTGAAAGTATGCTCTTTTTTAAGATTTAAAATAAAATAAAATTTAAAATTATAAAATTACAAAAAATTTTGATTAACAAATAAATTTTCTTTTTGCAAAAATAGGAAATATATATATTTATTAATTAAAATTATGCATAATATAAAGGGATATATCCCTTTATTATGCATAATTTTAATTTTTCAATAACAATATTGTTCACAAACTGATTCTTTTCTTTAAAAAAAAAATATTACATATTCCAGTTTCTTAACATTTTTGTAAAAAATTCTCAATTTACAAATGCTAATATTAAAACTTTAATATAAAAAAAAATGTTGTTACATTTATTTACGAATTTCTTTAATTATAAAATTATTCGTAATAATATCAGTAACTTCTATTTAAATAAATATTTGATTGTTATTATTTTTCCATTATTTTATTACATTTAAAAATAATTTAATTTTTGTAATCATTTTGTAACGTACGTCTACAAAATTCAATGTATTTAGTGTTTTTAACTAAAATTCTTCTATAAATTCATTATTTTTAATAATTAATTAAATATATATTGCCAAATATAACTAATTTCAAAAGAATTTGAATTATCAAAATTTTAAATTAAATTCATTCAAAATTAAAATTTTATAAAATTTCAAACTGAAACCGCTTAAAGTTAATTTGTTTATAAAAATTGTAAACGCAAAATTGAATTGATTTTGAAATATTTAAATGAACGGATAACTATTTGTATTTTTCTCATATGTCAAGTTCTCTTCCTCCTCAATTATGATTGGCAGATAAGTATTTGGAAACGACGGCAACAATGTATGAATGTCGCACACGGAAATTTTCGAACAACCTATCTCGAACGGTCATTGAGAATAGACTTTCAGAGTCGCATGCGACATTAACCATTCGACATTTTACGCATGCGAGAATTGTCGAATGCTTTCGAGAATACGGCTCCTGGGGCCGTATTCTCGAATCGATGACCCTAGATGTCGCATGCGACAGACCATTCGAGATGGAAAAAGCTATTCTCGAACGCTTGTCGCATGCGAGATTTCATGTCGTATGCGATAATTTCCGAATGGTTCATCTCGAGTGGGTAGTGGCCATTCGAGATGCAAAGTCGTATACGAAATGCTAGTAAAAAATAAGGTTGTGTGTCATCCTTGTAATAAACGTATATAATATAAAGTAGTATTAGTGTACATGAACCGCATGCTAAAGTAGAAAAACTATACAAAATAACCTAAATGTAATGTTTAAGAATTAAAAGTAAACTTGTGAAATAAAAGTTTAATGTAAATAATTTATAATATGCAAAATTTATAATGGATAAATTGCACATGTTTGTGTTATTTTTGTGAATGAATCATGTTAACAATATATTTATTTTATTTTTTATTTTTTTTAATTTTTTAATCTTCGTTTCATTTTTTCTGTCTGTTCACACTTTAAAGTTAGTTTTTGTGTATGCTTTTGTTTTTTTCTTTACAAAATATTGTTTCACAAATTGAAAGTATGCTCTTTTTTAAGATTTAAAATAAAATAAAATTTAAAATTATAAAATTACAAAAAATTTTGATTAACAAATAAATTTTCTTTTTGCAAAAATAGGAAATATATATATTTATTAATTAAAATTATGCATAATATAAAGGGATATATCCCTTTATTATGCATAATTTTAATTTTTCAATAAGAATATTGTTCACAAACTGATTCTTTTCTTTAAAAAAAAAATATTACATATTCCAGTTTCTTAACATTTTTGTAAAAAATTCTCAATTTACAAATGCTAATATTAAAACTTTAATATAAAAAAAATGTTGTTACATTTATTTACGAATTTCTTTAATTATAAAATTATTCGTAATAATATCAGTAACTTCTATTTAAATAAATATTTGATTGTTATTATTTTTTCATTATTTTATTACATTTAAAAATAATTAAATTTTTGTAATCATTTTGTAACGTACGTCTACAAAATTCAATGTATTTAGTGTTTTTAACTAAAATTCTTCTATAAATTCATTATTTTTAATAATTAATTAAATATATATTGCCAAATATAACTAATTTCAAAAGAATTTGAATTATCAAAAGTTTAAATTAAATTCATTCAAAATTAAAATTTTATAAAATTTCAAACTGAAACCGCTTAAAGTTAATTTGTTTATAAAAATTGTAAACGCAAAATTGAATTGATTTTGAAATATTTAAATGAACGGATAACTATTTGTATTTTTCTCATATGTCAAGTTCTCTTCCTCCTCAATTATGATTGGCAGATAAGTATTTGGAAACGACGGCAACAATGTATGAATGTCGCACACGGAAATTTTCGAACAACCTATCTCGAACGGTCATTGAGAATAGACTTTCAGAGTCGCATGCGACATTAACCATTCGACATTTTACGCATGCGAGAATTGTCGAATGCTTTCGAGAATACGGCCCCTGAACTCGTTCAAAGTATGAGTTGAACGAGATCAAGTCTCTGCGTACGTTTCACCATCTACTTAACCACGTTCAACTCGGTTGAACTAAGTTTATATTTTAATCGCTGAATTTTGTCGGTTTAAGCAGAGTTGACCGCGTTCAACTTGCCGAACTCTCCCGAAGCGCAGTGCGAACTTTTACGATTTGTTGATTTTCTTAAGGGACCACTACCTATAGGTATAAAAAATTAATTAACATTCAGTGTATTATTTACTTAACAAAATAAGTGGAATCATTATATATACAAAGCATTCTATCCTAAACTGACCCACTATCAAAACAATATTGCATGTAGATGCTTTGTTTCAACAGATTTAACTTTATTAAATGTAAATTAAATTTAAAAAATATAAAGAAAGAAGGATTTTAACAAAAGAAAAATAAATCTGACAAATGTTTAGAAATATTCATATAAAAGCCTTTACAAATTTTAAATGGTCATTTAATTGACATTCGTATTGAAATTTACAAATCTGATCTACTACACCACAATCACAAAATATGTATGCACTATTATGTTATTAAATTAAGAAAATATAAAAAAGGACTTTAAAAAAAGTTTGGCTCTCTCTGTCTAATTTTGCTTTCAACAAAAAATTTAAATTTTGTAATTTTTGAAATAACTTTTTTCTTTATTAAAATTTTCATTTACTCTTGTCAAAATTGTATTTCTGCCATGAAAACGAATCGATTCATGTATATAAAGTATATATTTTATCAATA